TATATATATATATATATATATATATATATATATATATATATATATATATATATATATATATATATAAAAAAAAAGCATAATCATCTTTATGGTAACTTTCACAAAGGGTGAAAAATGCCTGAAATGTAACAGTGGTTTTATTTTTATAAAAGTACTGGTTTATACTTACAAAGTTGATAAGTGAGGAGGTTTTGTTCAGTCTCTTAATTTCTATTAAGAAGTAGTGCTCGTTTCAATATGTCACCATGCAGTGTAGTCACCTAGGAATATTTTAAAAAATATCATTACTGTGGGTTTTTTTTAAATGACTCTGTGCAATAGATGTGCAGAATGAACTCTGTTTTTTCTTCTGCCTTCTGTTGTTGTTTTTTTTTCTTTACTTTACCCTGACAGTATAGAATGTAATATCTTGAAAAGTGTGTTTTTCTCATTCTACCCACAGCAATGTAGTGATAATTTTATCTGATTAATTTGTTGAATTTGATGGATTATTTGTTGAAGTGAAATGTTATTTAACGTAAAATATAACACAGAAAAATAAATTTTCAGGATAGAGATTTTAAACAATAATAAATGCAATTTATGATGATGATGAAAATTGAACTGCTTTTGTAGTAACCAGGAAACTTCACTGATTTGTGGGTTTTATTCTAAACCCCTCCTCAGTACTGGAAAAAATGTGTTTTTAATAGACAAAGTTAATGAATTTAATACAAAACTGGAGAGTATCCATACTCAAATACAATGTGGTATTCCAAGTAGGAAATATGTTCATATTTCGGAGAACATTATGATTGTTTGGTACACGTAAACCAACTTCACGGAAACTCATTGTAAAGATGACCTGATGAATATTTTTACTGTCAGTGTCTATGTCAATCTCTGCTTTCTGAACAAACAAAAAGAAAATTAAATATGTCTGTCAGCACTCTCTTAGTCCCACTGAGACAAAATGCGTCTTTACAAATCTGTAAGTGCTGACTAAACAAATTCATTATATGTGAAGCAACTGTATGTTGGACTTCACCAAGCACATTTGAAAGAAATTAATAGTTTTTCTGTTTCTGGTTGTGTTACAGATGTGTTGGGAAGCCAGACTTTGCTACACAGGAGTAGTTGTTTTGAGATGTACCTCCTTATACACACAATAATTTAAATAAACAGGGCAGCTTGTTATGAAAAGTGTTAGAAGAAAGAATACAACTTTTAAAAACAAGATGCTTAAGGATATTGTATAGATATAGTAATTAGGGATATATTTTGGCAACCTTACTGTGAATGGGTTTGAGGTTTGTTTCTGGGCACGATTCACACATTTGGTATATAATCAGGCTAGACTTTACACTGATTTGATTACTTTTTATTAAATAGTTTATACAAGTCTGTTCCTAAGGATACATTAACAGCAGCAATTGGAAAGTAAATTTTTTAATATGCTAAAGGTATAGAGAAAGCTCTAACAAATATTTGTAAATTTAGCTCAAAGTGGATTTGGATGCCCAAATATTCCAGCCAGTTTTTAATCTCAGTCAGAAATGTAATTTACAATGCTTTGCTGTTACCCATTTAAAATTATCAGTGTTGAGAACTTCTGATCACTATTTAGGCATTTTCTCTGTCATCCCCAGGAAAGATGTCTAGAGACCGGGCTCTGAGGAAGCAGCAGCAATTGAATAATTTGGTAGCAGCGGTGACAAAGCTTGCTAAGCCTGGAGATGTGATTGTGGATTTTTGCAGTGGAGGGGTAATGTATATTTTTGTTTGCATGATACAATTTCTTTCAGCTGTCATCTTTGCAGTTCTAGGTCGTTGCTGCCACAAAGCATAAGTACAAATGCTGAAATCTTGGATGTTTTCAAAGGTTCTGTCACTGGTTAGGCAATGCTTATGTAATGAGTTAACAACAGGAAACACTGAAAAGTGACTCAGATTTTGTTGTTTGTTTTTGTTTTCACAGGGCCATGTTGGAATTGTTCTTGCTCATATGATGCCATCATGTCAGGTAAATTCTAAATAAAAAGTACAGGTGGGTATGAGCTTTTGGTCTCTAATTATGATCTTAAAAAGATGCACATGTAGGAAGAATAAATATGAAGACACAGTTGTCTCAGCACAGGACTTAAATTTGAAGCATGTAAATTTTTAGCATAATCCCAAATGTATGCAGTGCTTTCCTGAGAAAACAGAAGTTATAAGAAAATACAAAATATTTGCAAGCTGAATGATGTTGGCAAGTACTAAATGCTTTCCATTGTTAATCATTTTGGAGATCTCGTGCTCTGGAACAAGTAGTTTGGAGGTTTCGTCAACTAAACTACAAAGTTTTGCACTTGTTGGTAATGTTGTACTTTGATTTCTCAGTATTATTTTGCCTTACTTTCTCCTAATTATGAAATCTAGGTGGTGCTCATAGAAAATAAGGAGTTGTCTCTGATCCGTGCTAAAGACAGAAGTGATGAACTAGGTTTAAACAACATTTGGTTCATTCAAGCAAATTTGGACTATTTTCATGGGACTTTTAACATTGGGGTGAGTGATTATAACTTTTGTACTGGTTAATTATTCTTAAAACAACTAGAATACGTATGAGAAGAACATTTTGTATGTCCTTACAGACAGGTATTTTTGATGCTGTGAGAAGCACCCTTGTTATGCTAATCTGTATTAAATTAGTTTTGTATTTATTGTTTGTTGCAAATTGGCATTGCTTTTATATTACATGAGTTAAGAAGGAAGTGTCTGCTCCAATCAGATAAAAGATGAGTGCTGTCTGAGCATGTTGAAGAAAAAGTGGGGTAGATTCTTGGTTTAATCTTGTTATTTTAAAATCAGTGATTCATTAATGGATATACTCTGGAGAAGGGTTTGAAGATGGGAAGAGAAGTCTTCTGTTTCTCAAATTAAGCCTGAGTACAGTAAAGTGAAGTCAGAAGTGTAGTTAGGTGACAGTAAAAGCATTTTAATATAAACAACTCGGAGACTACACAATAAAAAACCTGAACTACCATGACAGAGAGAATGTTATACTGATGACATATGTGTGTATTCAATGTATGAAGTATACTCAAGCTATGTTTATAAAGGCAGAATGATATCTCAGTTCTGTAGGACTCATGCTGAGCACTCCTATTGCAGTCAACCGGTGATATTCTGACTCTCAGTTAACTGTAAATGAACAGACCAAAGGAGGAATTTGAGTTCGGCAGGAGCAAAGTAGATGATTTGAATACCAATTCAAAGCATCTGTGTTAGACTGGGAAAGTAAATGAGATGAATGTCCTCTGCAGTCCTCATGAAGAGTAAGGCATAAATAGTATTTTGTAACTCTGAAAGATTCCTGTCTTCCAGTTTTATATTCTGTTAATAGAACCTGAACCTTTGCAGCAAGCCCCAAGCTTTCAGTGTGGGTCTGACATCTGACAGTTCTTTAAATCATTCATCCAAGGGCCTGTTTTGGCTGTAGCCGAGGATGTTTAATGCTGAAGGTTTATGGTACATGAACAGTGCTGTTTAACTATTTGGTTGGTTTATTAAATAAAGGAAAAGAAATACAGTGCAGGAGAAAATAAATTATTTCAACCCAATCCTTCCAAGTGTAAATTTTCAATTCTCTAGCTTTATTTTCTGTGCTACATTGTCATATAAATTTCACTGGATGAACTAGAGATCTATTTCAAAAAATCATGAATAATGTACTGAATTCTGTGTGTGAAATGTATAATAGTTTTTCAGTGGAATGAGTCTCCAATTTTGTGATTGTTGGAGTTCCTGTCTTCTTTTTGGGGGGTCTGTTTCTGAGGTTAATACTAAGTTAAATATCTCTGTGGAGTTTTTATTTAATAATAAAAGTGTTCTCTTGCGAGTTTTGTCACAAGGAAAATATTGAAGTATATGTCAGAAAAATTCACTTGGAATTTCTTAATTTCCAGGCCTGTGACTTCAGTTTTTTTGACTTGATTCTGTAATCTATTCAACAGACAGATCTGGAGTTTTCCCTTTTTTGGGAGACCTGTATCAATCTCAACTTCAGAATTAGTTTGTATCCTACTATGATTCACTTTGCAGGATTAGCTCATTAACTCAGGATTGACTTTCCTGTGCAGCCACCAGCTGGCTGGTTTACTGACCAGTAGCACAAGTGCTTGGTGTTGTTTGAAGGTTAATGATGTGAAGTTTAGCTGCCTTTGTATCATTATGTCATAAACATTGGTCTCATACAAAAACGACAATATAATACCAGAAGACGTGAATATGTACAAAGTTTGGCAATGCATTAGTTCTAAACCCATCTTCTGAGGCTTGTCAAGTTAATCACTCGTTGCATGACTTCATTTCCAGTAAAACAATGAAGTGTAAATGTGAGGGTAGACACAATGACAAGAAATTCACTGGGTATATTGCTTGAAATGTAAAGAGGTATAGAAAAATGAAAGCGCCAGAAGTAGTAATCACTCTGCTTTTGGTATGAGTTTAAAACATGTTTGTATGTGCTTTAGTTACCTTGACATCAAATCTCTATTACTTAGCTATTTTCTCATCTGTTATCTGCCAGGAGTTCAAAAGCAGGTTAAAAAAAAAAACCAAATTGTTGACCACTTCCCTTTTGCTCCGCATAAAATTTCTGCCCTTGCTGATTGTTGGGGTAATGAAGATCAAGGTTCTGAAACAACCTGTTTGAGTGCCAAATGTACTGGTACACTATGCTATTACATGTTGTAGTGTAGCCACCAACCACAGTAAAGGATTTCTGTCTAAAAGTTGAAAGCTTCCAAATATTTACATGCAGTGTTCATTTATATGCCAACACCCAGAGGAGTCTTTGAGTTCTTAATTGGTTTTAATGCTTCTGTAGTACTCACAGTATCTCAGCTAATTTGTGAGAACAAGATGAAAAGTTTAAGGCTTGGTTGAGGAGGTATGTTTTTGAGTGTGTTGTGTTCTTTTCAAGATCACTAAAGTGAGCCTGTGAGGTTTTATGAAACATTCTCTGTGCACTAGGCTGTTCTAGGGAGTTGCAACACCAGAGGAGTAATATAGGACAGTGATCTCACGCTGCATTAGCTCTGCTGCTCTCTTCAGGGGCCACTTGGTTTTCCTGTGTCCACAATGCCATTATCTGTATTAGCCCTCACTTCTTATTTTGGTTCAGGTAATGAGTTTAATATGTAGGGTATCCTGAGAAAGCTTTGTCTTGAATTTTATTTGTGATTTTTTCCTTAACTAAATTGATTCTGAGAAACCCAAATAAGAAATTGGTTGGTGTAAAAGTTCATACAGACTCAGCAAAGCTATTCACTGATGTTTTAAAGTCTCTCTTCCAAACATGCAAGCAAAGCAAAGGTCTTTGTTTTCTGTTGGATAGATGAGGAATTAACTATAATTATATTCCATGATAATCTGATAGCTGTGATATTAAGACTTTATTTCTGATGTTAAACTCGTTCTACTTTTGTTGTTGTATTCATGAGAGTAGAAAACTTTCATTGTGAAATTGTTTTATTATTAATTTTTTAATATTCTGCTTGAGACAAGAATATTTGTTGCCATCTGTATGCAGTTATAGTTCATTTGATGATTTATGGTCTGCTCAGCTGAGTTTACATAGAGCAGTCTACAAACAAAAAAGTCTTTGTTTTAATATGTATCTGAGAGCAAAGTTTTTATCTTCCAATTGCTATACCTTGAAAAACAACTTTGAACCCTGAAATCTGAGGTTTGCAGTTCTAAACCTAACAAAAAGCAAACAATGCAGTTTTACAAATCTGCACCACTGCATAAAATTAAAAATGTGCCTCAAAAATGTCTTTAGTTTAATGAAAATGTATATCAATATGTATGCACCAGGTCTACTTTCTGAGCTACTGAATACATGGAATAAGGCAGAGAAAGTAATGCCTCCATTTTATCTGACCCATTTGGCATCACAGATAAAAATTAAAAAAAAAAAATATATATATATATATATATATATATATATATAAAAATAAAAAAAATATGTGAGAGCTGCTTGCCTTTCGTTGCAAAATATTGAGTACAGCAGTAACTTGCCTTTCTGTAGGAGAGCATGAAGAATTTGCGTGCAGTTTGTGCGTTACCCAAACACGCATCAGTGCTTACAGGTAGCTGTTATGATTGAATGGCATTCTAGTTTTAGTTTGAGAGTCCATCACTAAGAAAAGGAAAGAAAAGAATAAGGAGAAAAAAAAGGAGGGCAAGTTATATTTGATGCTTCCTCACCTTGTTTGTTTTCTGAAGTTTTTACTCAATACCTTTACAATGAAATGCTCGAAATTTATGTGTAAATGTTCTTTAAATGTGACCTTCAGGTATATCTGTTACTTCACTTAATGCTAAGTTGAAATACAGTTTTGAAATAGTTTTTTTGTAGTTTTAAGCCGTTTTTATTTGACAACTAATCATCATAGTAGTTTTTCTTTTAATATTTTTCTGGAGCTTAATTTTTAATTTATTTGATAACACAATGCAGTGCACCTACTTTTTGAGTGGTTTTGGTGAGTGACCCTTGATCTGTGTTGATAATTGCCTTGTTAATAAAATAGACCATAAATTTTTCTCAATATAGATATGAGAAGAATGAAAAACCTGAGGAATTAAGGACCAGGCCTTTGGCATAACAGCTTTCATTCCAAAAACTTCTTCATATATTAAGTAACTCAGTCATCGAAAAAAATACTGCAACATGATTGTATTTAGAACATAGCTATAAAGAATTTGCTTGTTTGTTTTTTGTTTTTAACACTCTAGGTGGCTCTGCATGCATGTGGTGTGGCAACAGACATGGTGATTGAACACTGCATCAAGTCTCGGGCAGCCTTTGTCATTTCTCCTTGTTGTTACGGCTTCATTCAAAACACAGTGAAGTTTAAATATCCACGAAGGTAAACTAAAGCGAACAAGATAAGCTTTAAAATTTCAACTTAAATGAAGGAAGAAAATACAAAGAAGTATGGAATTAATCAGTTGAAGATCGTTGCAAGTGTTTAAGCTGAATTGGTTCACAGTTATAATGCAACTGTTTGCGCCTGTTTCTCTTTGCAAACCTATCCTGAGAGGGAGACAGGTCGGTAATTCCTGGGTTTTTTCTGGATTCATCTATTCATAGTTCAGGAGACTTTATACCATCAACATAGTAGATACAGTATGTGGAAATCTGTGTAATATGCAGACCTTTTACCTTGAAATCACAAAGTTAATAGAAAACTTATGAAAATTATTGTAAGGAGGGGAATTGACATTTTAATGTTGGAGAAAGATGTAAGCAGTCAGCTTAAAGAAGTGGGCCTGCTTTATACCACAGTTTACTGCTTGTGAAACTCTTCTGATTTATTCCCAAGTAGACAAGCTCTCCTGTATTTCAGTTCACGTTTTTAATACTTTTTCAATAAACTGTAGATACTTTGTCATCTTCAAATCTGTCATGTTGGAGATACTTTTATATCTTAGTCTTAAGAATTGTAGTGCCTTTGATAAAAGTAAAATGTAAAAAATAAGCATAAAGTGGTAGAAGAGGCTAACAGGTTTGAGGCAGAACTAGATGAGGGAAGAGGTTTGTGGGTTGTTTTGTTGTTTTAGATTTTTTTTTTTCATAATGCTGAGCTTTGCATTTTTGGATGTCCAAGATTAGTCAGATTTAATTTTATTAGGAATTACAATATTGTCTTAGGTATAGATCTGCTAAAATAAGAAACTGAAACATGCTGTCTTGAAAGGAATTAACAAATCTAAAAAAATCTTATGCATCCATTTAAAATATTTTTCATATTTCTTATAATATTGAAGTGTGCTGTCACAGAAGTGCATGGAGAGTAAATATTTAGAATTTATAAGTTTGATAAAATTGTGTTTAACAGTGCTTTCTTAATCAATTTGATTCTTCCGTCTCTTTATGTGTGTCCAGTTTTGTCTTCTCTTGTGATACATTAAGACAAATAAGTATTCTTAAGGAAGAGGCAATATAATTTTAAGCCTTTTAAATTTAGCAGGTATATAGATGTTCTCTGTTGACTTGTTACAAAATTGTCTGGATACTATTTAACTTTTGACATTTTTAGATCATGAAGAGTGGAAATGCTCACTAATAGAAGACTTGATATAGATGGTGCAAGAATGTAAATCACAGTTTTGTGTTTGACAGAATTTTGAATCTAACATTGTAATCATATGTAGAAAATTTTCAGCCCTAGTTCAAGCTACATTTTAGGGTTTGCTTTTTCTTTTTGCCTTATTTGATATGATCATAAAACATGATAGCCTGCACATATATCCCCATATTTGCCTGTGTTCTATACTCAATTCCACTGTAGAGGTACCTTTCTTTTATGGTACAAACAAAACATATGCATGTCTAGAGGTTGTATACATGTAATATAAAGTGTTTATGTAGCTCTGGAAATGCCAGTAAATCTGTGTTAGCATTTATAATGATTTAAAGAGAGAATTTTTATGAATAATACAATAGGGACAAAAAAGGTAACACCAGATAACACTTTTCCATTTCTAGTGAACTGGGACTGTAATGTTTTCTTGGGTTTTTTTAATGCTTTTCTCTAGGTTACAGATATTGCTCTTTTGTTTAAAATGTGTTCAAGTATGTAATGATTGCTTCTATTTTCCACCTCTGTTTTTTTAGATGTAAATTGAATTAGTCTTTTTGTTTTTTTCAGTCATCAGTTCAAAGAAATTTTGTCCTACAAGGTATGTAAAAGGGTTGGGTGGGGAAAGAGGGTTATGAGCAGTTTTCTGTGTTTCATTGGGTGTTCTTATCAAATGGAATATAAGTGATTATCTTTTAATTGTAAGGAGAAGCACATTACGTGAAAAGTTCATTAGTAGTGCAGATGTCACTGTGTTGCTTTCTTTCTACCATCTGATTTTGAAAGCTTTTTTTCAATAAAATTAAATAGTTTCCCCACAAGATAACTTTTTAATCATAATGTAAAGCAAATCATTCCTAAGATACTTCAACATGCATCAGTTAACAGTTACAGGTTACCAATTTAATTAGGTTTTAAATACAACTGTTTATACTGTGAAAATGTCTTATCATTTTTTAGGTAAAATTACTGCTTTTATAGGTACTAGATTCTGATAAACATTAGATATCTCTGTCTAGTTTATGTCTAGAAGATTGGACATAGTGAGTAGGAAGAGCTTATACTCATCAGCAAGAATTGTATACGGTATTGTTTTTAAAATGTTATTCAAAATTATTTCAAAAATATTCAAATGCATTTTGACCCTTGGGAGCCAGGGTCTGTGTGGACAGAGTCCGAGCAGAAAGTGAGAGAAAGAATCAGAGGCATGCAGATCTGACAGAATGAGGATAACGGGTGACAAGAGAGTGAAAAAGGACAAGAGCAGAGAGGTGGACAGCAGACAACTGGTACTGACCTGTTAAGCTTTGCTAGTGCATTTAAACTAGTTGGTGATGAACAACGAGAAATTTGAAGGTTAGATGCGCTTCATGTGGCATAGAAAGAAAATATTTCAATTTAAGAGAAGCAAGGCTATATAGAAACTTTACTGAGTTTACATGTCAAATCCTAGACATGGGTCTTAGTGCTTACAATATAGAAATGTATACTTGAGATGCGGAATAATCCTTTGTAACAGAAATATGAGAGAGAGATGGTATTTCTAATATTGAAATGGTTTTTGGAACCGTGAGCATAGCAAGGATGCTATATGTAGCAGAAAAATGGAGATTATCCTTTTAATCCTCAAGTATGAGGGCATTTAAAAAAATCAGAAAATTTCCAGCCATCTTATACAGGGAAGTTCAGTTATCTGGTAATACACTAATCTTCATTACAGTGTGGTTTATGTACACTTTACAAATTTACATGGAAATAAATGCCCACAGATTGAGATGATAAAAGCAGTGCAGTGGATTTGGACCTGCTATTTTTTTTATTGATTAACATTCTCTTCAATACATTTATACATTTCTAATGCATAATCATGAAGAACTCAGGTTTAGAAAAAGTTTATTTACTAACATATTATTAAAAGTAGACTTGTTGAAAGTATAGAGGAAGATGATGGCAATTATAAAGTCAAGGATGCCTAGGTTATGATAATGTATAATGTCATTAAAACTCAGTGAAATTTTTTTTTCTTAATCTGTTAATCCATGGAGGTTTAAATCACAGGATTTGTCAACACTATAGAAGTTCCAACATTTTATTATTTGTATTGCAGAAGAGCATAGGGGCCAAGGACAATACTAAAAAATATTGCTGCTCTTAATAATGTAAGAGCCTATAGAAACCATCTAGGCTGGTTGGTGCCTCAAATAATCCTAGTTATAAATAACTTCTGTTATCCAGCTAGCTATATGCATTTTTATATTTCATATTAATAAATTGTTACAGGTTATTGGCCAGTAGCCAAAGCTGCCATGTGTTAGCCAGACATTGTCTGTGTCAGCCCCCTCCAGTTCCCATTTTAAATTCATTTCTCTTATCTTTCTTTTTAGTGAGATCTAAAAAGACATCCAGAAGTCTGGCAATTCCAAAACTTTTTTTGATGAGAACATTATGCTGTAATTCATTAGTTTATAGCTGCAAAGAATAAGGTTATGATAACTGTAGATTTCTACCGTGATACATTTTGAGACTGTTTGTCAATACGCTTTCCCTATAGGAGAATTGGAAAGTAAAACTGAAATAACTTTGCACATACAGCTTTGAAACTTAATAGGAATTGAAGCCATGGGTTCTAGTAAGCAAGTTAACTGTTTATGCTCACACAAAATTAGGGTGGTTTATAATTCCCTTCATTATTTTAGAAATGCTTTCCTTTTTATTTATGCCAACAGGGAATGTGCCAATTTAATGACTGTGTCATGGGGAAAAGATGTAGTCATAATTTAGGCTCTAGTTTAACTTTTTGGGTCATCTCTGAGGGAAGCAAAGGCATTAGAGTAAGTCCAGATTTTCAGGTTAAGTGGTGAGGTTCACCTTGGCTCTGGTCTAGTCAGATGAGCTGAGAACATGATGTTGCGAAGAGCCAGGTTGTGTTTGGTGCCTGAAGGCTGGTGAGGGGTTCTGTGCTAGCATGGATCTTTTCCCTGTTCTCTGAATCCCTCTTTTCCTCTCCAAGCTGCCTGTTATGCTGCTTCTCTCCTAGCAGCAGCCACATTGCTTGTGGCTCTCCTTTTCCTTCATTCTCCAGGAGTCACGTCTGGGTTTAATGTTTTTAGCTCTTTTGTACTACAAAAATAGCCATATTTAACTGAACTGACTGGGCATAACATGTTTAAGTTCTAAACATGTTAAAACATGTTCTCATTATGCTTGCATATTTCTTATGGAGCTGTGAGCTGAAAACCTTCACATGAATCAGCTGTACTGAGGAACAAATATCACTGCCTCAAGATATTGTAAATTTATTTAAATGAGTAATATTTTGAGTTTCAAGTGGTGATAATTTCATTTTATAATATATGGGCATGTTTTTTTTTATGGTCAGGTGTCTATTAAATTTATGAATTGGGTGGAGTGTACTGTGGAGGGAGTTACCATCTTGATTTAGTATGAAGATGGAATTTAATTCTGTTTTGTTTTTTTGGTGTGGGTTGGGTTTTTTTTTTCTTTGTAAATGAAGCCTTTTGGATGTTTATATCCCCATAATAAACTGGAGTAAGTATCCTCTACTTCAGGATACTGAATTATCCTTAGGTGAAGTTGTTCACTCCATCTGTTACAGGAAACAAACCTTTAAAATCATCATTTTATATCAGACAAGAAAAAAGATTTTTTTCTTTTTGATGCATGACACATGTCTCTTTTTTTCAGATCTATGATATTATAGGAGACTTGGGAATGTTGTACAGTTCTAAAAGGGTTCTGATTTACTCTGTCCTGTACTTAATATTGCAGTTGTCCCTAAGAGCACAGTTGTCATCAGCATTAATTTCATTGCTACACCTTCATGGGTTTTTTTCCTCACCATCTGGCTAACTTGCCTTCCTTGGCTTGGCTGGTCTTTGAGAAACCATTATGCTAGCATAGGTGGTGTTGTTTGAAGGGAAATGAGGATGGATTCTGCCTGCTTGTGTAGTGATCTAAGCAGGGAGTAAGATGGTGGGGCTAACACTCCACTGCACCATGCCCCTGGGTGACAGGACAGGAAGAAACTAACAGCAGCTGTTGTAGAAGCTTCTGCAGAAACTTAAAGTGGAACAGGAATGGTTTGAAAGTGAACTATGCTCGCTTTGATGTAGGAGACTTTCCTATTCACAGCCAGGTATATTTTGCCTTCAGGATCTTTTGGGTTGATCCTGAATGGATTTGGCAGACCAGAGGAAGTTTGACCCACAAGGGTGGTGTTCTGGGATTCAAAATGACTGCTTGGGAGAAATGTGCAGTAGTTCATATCACCTATTTAAGTATTTTGTCTTGTCAGCCTATTGTTGCAGAGATGCTGCACCTTGATAACTGTGCTAAAAAAAGTCTGTGTTGCTCGTCAGTAATTGAAGGCAAAATTAGTCTGCATGTGTCTTTTAAGAATGATATCTTGTATACATTGCATCAAATTCCAATTCAATTGCTTCAGAGAATTAGAGAAAATTTAGCAAGGAGCAAATACTTATGAGTAGAAATGTGGTCATGGTTACAAACACTTGATTTGCACACACATTTACAAGCCAAAGCGGTATCAAAATTAGGATTTGCACACAGATGGTTTTTCTAGAAATATGATCTTCAACATTATAGCATTTTTGATAGTTTTAAACTTAGATTTTTTTTTTCTTACTTAATTTGGAAGATGGAAATGCTACTGGACCAAATTTCTTTTTTTTTTTTTTCTAGGAGCACATGATCCTTTGCAGATTTGCAGATCAGACAGCTGTTCAGCTTCCACCTGAACGCAGGCTAATTGGTATGAATTTCTGCAGCTGTTGTGTAAACTATCTCAGTGATGAATTGTAAAGAAAGTAGTAGTACATACATGAACAGGTCATTAAGTTGCTGTCTTCACATAACACTTGAAAAATTTGTGTTTATTCACATTTGTCGTCTTGCTCGTCTGAACTATGGTATAGAAACTCTTTCAGAATTATCAATATGAGATAGAGGGCTTGCATTTTACTGATTTTTGTTGCTTCATTTTTTTTTCCCTCCCACCGTTCTCTGAAAAGAATGAGGGTTTTTTAAAAGTTCACTAGAGTCCTGCTATTGCCAGCTTATTTTGCATTAAAAACCACAGGCTATTCATAGTAATGATTTTCAGTGTGAACCCTTTGTCCTGCTTGTAATTGCTGGTGGTAACTCTTAGAAGGGCAAACATCTAATATCACCTGGAAACAATAAAGCTAAATTGCAGAGTCTGGGTGAGCTTTGGTACAGGCAGGTTTAAGAGCATACAAACCTATTTGGCCCACCTCGTTATTAGGGTCACCATAATAATTTTAGATAAAAACCAGAAGATTTACTGTTTGTGTTTTTGTTTTGTTTTTCAAGTAGTGAATAATATTTATAATCTGAAGACTTTGCAAGAATGTAGTTTGGCTTACCCCTTACCTGGGGTACCAGCCTTCCTGTTGTAGGGAATCTTCTGTTATAGCTACAGCAGTGCAGTACTCAATATCTAACTTTTGGTAGTCAGTTCTGTTACAGGTTTGTATTTATTGCTGTTCTGAGTAAGACCAGCTGCCTTCTCTTGGGTCATTTCTGTTCAATTAACAGCCGAGTAAGTTGATCCCTGAGATTTTAGTTTTAGACAGGTGTCAATGATTTCTGAGGAAAAGAAATGCAAGAAGCTATCATTAAGATGACTGGAATTTCATTACTTAGAAGGACGGCAAAATACATAGCACTTCAAATACTTGCAATAAGCAAAGACATTTCTTCATTAAGTGCAATATTCTAGTATTCTTTGACTTACAGAAGGCTATAATATTCTCCTGTTTGGTATTCACGTTCTGATAGAAGCTATAAACTAGCTTCCAGGTCAGAAAAGACAGAAAGGTCTGGGAACTCTCAGGGTATAATTTTACATTCTTGGCTTGCAAGAAACACTTAGAAGGTATATTAAAGCAGTAGTAGCAAATAATCATAATGTTTTTTAAAAACTCCATTTGAAGAATTCAAAGTATTTCCTATACTTAATGCACCAAAAGAAAATAATACAGATTCTGAGATAACTATTTTACAACAAATTTTTTGGCTGTTTTGCTATCATCACAGTATTTGAAAAAAATTTTAAACCCAGCAGTGTTCAGTTACCAGTGTAGCACCCCACGTTGTCTCCTGCTGCTTGCCAGGCAACTGGAAATTGGAAAAGAACCCAAAAGACTTTTTTTTGAAAGACTGTAACTTTTATCTGTTCTCTGTCTTGGATACTGCCTTTTTTTTTCCCCCCCAAATTTAACTTTTATGTTCTTTGCCCTGACAAAAAAGCTAACATAAATCTTATTCCTCTCCCTTCCCCTACATCATTGCTTTTTCTGTTTTAATAAATGTTATTTTTTCTTTAAGTTCCACATAATACTGTTCAGGTGAAGATGATTCCCGTTTCAGTGTTCTGTTTCAGCTATGATACTGTTTTTAAGGGAATCTTGTTGGGGTACTTTTTAAATTTTGCTTGCAAGTAATTGCAGATTGAATCAGATCAGTATTACAACTGTGGTGAGATTTTTTTTTTTAATTAATTTTGTGCAATGGATGTTCAGGTATTGAGAAAACTGTGTAGACTTCATTTAATGAAAATATTCCTGAACAGGTGGAGACTTTTCCTTTTCTATTGTAAATGATGTCAAAATGACTCACTGCTACCTTTTGAATATTTTAGGATTGTATTGTAAACTGTGTTTTAGCAATTACCACTGAATTTATGTAGTTTCAGTGAAGTGACAAATGATTTTGTTTGTTTACCTGTAAGCCCCTAAATCACTAAAGTATGGCATTCTGTCTGTGACTGTCATGGCTGAAACAACGGATTTGTTAAAGGAGTTATCAAATTTCAGTAGTATCTGTGAATGTAAAAATATGCAGTTGAACCCATTTCTGCTACAAACAACAATTCCCTCTTAGATGAAAAAAGTTCCATGTCCCATTTTCACTGGATGTGTGTGTTTTATCTGCTGTATGCAGCAGTAGGACCTGAGTGTAAACACCAAATGCTTTTGTGAACATTGCTACAGCCCGTCTGATTTGGTCTGTCAGATCACAGAACTGCTCCATGTATTTCACACTCTTACTGAGAGCACCTGGGGAACCAGGCCCCAGTTGTGACAATTCCAATTGCCCTTTAGTGTGTACACTTTGAATAATAATGATATTCGTGTCAGTGGCAGGAGCATGTAAATGCCATTTTGTTCAGCCAGCCACAGAATGTGATTTTCTATGAAACCACAAATGTAGGAGAATAGTGCCACGTGAGTGCCACACTGCCACATAATTTATGGAGATCTATCCCGGTTATATAAACTGATAATTTCTCCCCACAACATATAAACTCATACAAGATGGAGCTGGAAAGTTCTTTTTCATGCCTAACCTTATTATATCTCTAAATTGTTTCCTACTCAATTACTACCCCTCTCAAATTCCAAGCCACCAGCAGAATAGAGTCCAAATGTCATAATGTTGGTGAAGTCAAAGTAGTGAATTTCTTTTGTAACTAAACAATTCAGCTGAGAAGAAGAAAATACTTTTGGCCATTGGCTTGTAGGGGAAAAGCAGAATAGCTTGGACTGAGTACTGTATTAAAGTGTGGTGTGCATCAGCTGTTCTGAAATACAAGGATACTGAGGGGCCTGCTTATGCAACATACCCAAAACTTCTGGAGACACCTAACGGATATATATCAGGGCTTGTAATGGTACAGGCACTCAAGCTCTGTATACATTCAGGTGGGAGAGGCAGACAGTTCCAGAGGGTAGTTTGTACAAGAGGCTTGTAGCCCAATGGTAAACAGAATGAGTGCTACTGTCTCTTCCCTTCATCTTAAACTCCAAATATATTTAACTGTACAATTCTATCAGGAACAAGAAAAAAGTTAGGATCATTGGCTTAGAGACTGAAGCAAGATTGTGCCTTGTTCGTGACTTATTACTGACAAAACATTTCAGGGAAGTACTAAGTCTTTCTTGCAAGAGAGTTTCAAACTGCTGAAAATAGGATCTGACAAATCAATTCTGTATTTCAGAACATAATCAATTATAGTGAGTAAATATGTAAAGACAAATGGCCCCATCACCTTGGCATGGCTGTATCATAATACAAACTTCTAAGCAGAAAAAAACCCCTTGGATTTATCTTTCCCATTTTTTCTGCAGGTAAATCTGAAATAAGATTAATTTTCATTAGTAATTTAGTATTTTCGTTTGTAAGAAGTTACATTCATACATCTCAAATCAATTACACTGGATCACTGTTTGGTATTTTAGTCTTTTATTGATATTCAATAACCAGAGATTTTTCAGATTTTAGATGAAAGTAAAGGAGGAAAACAGTTACAGTTATAAAGGCAGTAGAAGCGTGGCAATTCAGAGAACTAAGGGGTAAACTAGACATTTTTTTTCTTCCTATGGCTTTCACATTAATGCATGGGTTTTTCTGTAAGTTATGAGCACGCTTAAAAATAGTTGTGCCTGTTATGTTTCTCCATATATAAAGAGTTAATAATCCCTCTCAAGATCTTTGCTGAATGAGGGTTACAAGTCACAGATGTGATTTAGAACTATTAATGACTGTCTATTTGAAGTAAACCAGATTAAAATAGTTTTTTAAGTAGATTTGGAACTTTTTTTTTAGATGACTTACTGATGTGTTTTCCTAACATTGAATATTGAAGTGTGTGTTTCTGATAACGTTTCTACATTCTTAGAGTTTCCATGCTCTCCATTGCTCTCGTTTTAGGAAAGCATTGTATGGGGCTTGTGGATCTGGATCGGGCATGGGCTGCGGAAGAACGTAACTACTCTGTCCAAGTTATATCTATGGAGCCAGAGAGTTGTTCTCCAAAGAACAATATGTTTGTAGGCATCCCTACTTAGAATGTGAAACTTGCATTTGATTTGAAGCTGAACATAAATCTTCAGTGCATAATGACATCCATGAGATAGAAGCATAGCTGGGAACTCATCTTGAACCCATTGTGCTTGGAAAAAGAAGCAGCACAAAAAGTCTTAGAAAGTAAACTGCATGCAAAGCATCAACAAATTGTACTTGTGTCATTAACTTTTGGTTCTCTTACTGAGAAGTTCCTGGATCTAACAACTGTGTGTGGCATATATCCATCTGTAAAGGTTTAGAAAAAAGTTGGTCTCATTGATTTCCTTTTTAGTAAAACTGCCTTGGCTGCTTCAAAATTGCATTCATGGTCAAAACTGTATTTGTGTTCATAAGCAGAGCAGTTGTCAGCCAATAATGCAGATCACTCGAGGAATAGAAAAGATCAAATTTATGGTGTTAGTGAAGAAGGCTGTGTGACAGGCTTGAATTCACTAAAGAATTCTGTACTACTGTAGGAAGATCATTTTTAATAAAAGTTCATCAGAATACTTGGAGCATCATTCTGTTTATTAAAAATGTATTATAACTTACTAATCTTTTTAAGAAGACTTAAAAATTATCTTTAAATATTACACAAGGATTCTGTAACCAGGCACTTGAAAGCGTGTTTAGTTAAAGAAAGCAAACCCCTTATTATCCATTGACCAGATAACAGGAGCTAGTGATGATGTCAGTGAATGGATACTTCACTGCCACCTCTGCTGGTTGAAGTGTATTGCTTCCTATTCTTAAAAAACTTGCTGTCAGAAGAAGTTTTTAAGGACACTTCATGTGTCTATATACATCGTCCTCACTGATTTGATATTCACTTTAAAATTTGAAGAAAATTGCCATTGTGAAATCATTTGAAAAGATCAACCACAATCATGTTACTGTAAAATGAAAATAAATGTTCTTCTGTGTTCTGCTTAGTAGGCAGTTCTCTACCCCAACTTAAAATCATCTGTTGACACTAGCACAATTGAAAATAGTTCCTGATGAGATTTTTGCTGTGTGTTTATGGGTTTGAGACATTTATGAATTCTGCCATGGTTTAAATATATCTGATGCTTGGTCAGTGTGAACATACCTTCAGTGCATGTGGCAAACAGTTACAAACCATAGGTATTGGAGGAAGAGAAAGGATCCTGAAATGTTTCATTCCTCATGAAACTAAAAGATCTAAATACTTGGCTTTTTCTGAAGGAAGACTGAAGGAAGGTGCATGCTTATTTGGAGGCACAAAGGTGAGCAAGTAGGTATGAATTCATACTTTTAGCCCGAGTTCTTCAGTAGATAATTACAAAATACTTTTTCTCCAACTTTTTATAGTTACAGGAGAAACTGGAGATTGGAAGAATATATAGCAAATATATGACAATACCAGTTGTCTCCATGATTTTCTCTCATACTTGCCCAAAGAGAAGTCAGTTTTTAAGATAGCATTGTGTCAAGTCTGAACATTATTCATGTTAAATTACTTTATTTAGAACTCCAGGTACTATGGAATGAGAAAATGCCTCTTCATTACCTTTTATGCTGAAGGAAGGACTTATCAAGGTGAGACACCTGATGCAAGCTTTGCTGTTTACAGTAAGGATTTTCACAATGCTCTGCTCCAGGGAATGGGTACTCATATGAGTGTTTTAATTATGGTGATGTTGAATATTTGATGATCTGATATTAATAGCCTTCAGTAGAGTAAAAATCTGCTGTTAAATGCTTCAAAATTTCTACAGTATCCATCTCGATGTTCTGTAATAGTCTTTAGATCTACCAGAAAAGGACAAGCAATACATTTGGGATGTGCCACAGGGGAGCATGTGTGTCACTGAATAAAAGATTAAAAATTACTTTTTTAACAGGCAAAACCAGTATTTCTTGGACACAGAGGTGGAGAAGGAGTCTTACGTGGAAAATAGCTGAAGTCATACAAGAATCTGAATATCAATTTCTGTTTTGTTAAGTGTTGTTGGGTTTTCTCCCATTTTTAAAATATTTGTTTTCATGTTAATGATGTAGTTTCCCCCAGATGTTGCTTATTTGTGACTTAAGTAAATTATATCTGCTGCCCCACATAGAGCTAGCTAGGCTTCACAGGAAGAAAAGGTTTATAGAAGCAATACTAGTGCTATGTTTATATGTATCATGACATCCCGTTTTTCTTGGATGAGCCAAACTATAGAAAGTGAGTTTGTGACAAATATTTTTTTTTTTCTCAGAGGTCAGAGATATTTTGATGGCATCTCATAGTATCTGTCATCTTGATGGCTTACAGGATAGTGAGACTGCATTCGATTTGTTGTGCTGCTTTGTGGTCTTTAGACTGTTGGCCTCAATGGGCTTTGGTTTCTTTTCTTCTCAGGAGGATAGAATCTTCCTCATGTTGAAGAATGGAGTTACCTTACTAAGAATAGTAAAGCTTGAACTATACTTGAGGCAAACAGATGTTTTGTTTATTGAAAAGTCAAGGGCATCAGATGAAAAAAAGCATAAAAAGAAGATATTTTCAACAGCTGTCAATACCTAATTTACCACAGATTAAATTGCCACTCTGTGCCATTTCCCTCTAGAAATGCGAGCTCAATTATATTAATTTCTAGGTATGTTAATTTGTTATGTGCTTCCATATACATAAATGGTATGGAATTAACAGAGACCAGAATTCCCTCAACAAGGTGACTGGACATTGTGGTCCTGGTAGGTGAACAGCTGCTGTTGTGCAGCCTGTTATGCAGGGAGCTAGTTTGATGTCCCAATATGTCCCCATACTATTTGTGTTTCTTATGTGTCTTGCCCCAGTGGGACCAGCTGTAGGGTGAGCAAAATTTTGTCCTAACATAATTTTCTATTGTCTTGCCAGTCGTCTTTTATGTTACCCTTGTAGCCAGTAATCCTGGAAAAACTAAGTTTATGACAGGAAACAGATGACCAAACTGAACTGAGCTCCTCTGTGTGTTAAAAGTTAGTAATCTCTATGTATGAGTATCTTTATTTTTGTTCATTGTTTTTAGTCTTTATCATGTTAATTATCTCCTTCCTTAGTCCTATTTCAAAAGGTTTTAGTATTGCCATATTTAAGCAGGGTTAGTAATAAATAAGGAACATTCCTAGGAGGTACATTGTGGCCCCTAATTTTACTGGGGCTTGATCTTAACAAAAAAAAAAAAAAAAAAAAAAAAAAAAGACATGATAGTGTTACTCAGTTAAATCAATCTATTGATTTTTTTTTTTATGAAAATTACATGTGTTGTCAAAATTACCCATCAATTGTTCTTAGAGAGGCACGTATAAAATGATTCATTTGTAGGGCTGCCATAAATTTTAGACTGATGTTTTCTGTTTCTGATTATCTCTTGACTGGTGGATCTGTCATTTGAAAAGGCAGTGATAATAAGCAGAAATGTCTTTTTAAATAGATGTCTTCCTAGATGACATGCTGTGCCAGGTATTCTCATTGAAAAGAACAATTAAAAAAACCTGGACGGTCAAGTATGTACACACACAAGTTTGAGCTTTAAGTAATCTGCAGTGAAACAGCACACACGATTTTATAGTGCGTTTATATACCTATTAGTTTGGCTAGAGATGATCAGTTGCAGCTATTTTCTGACAAGATTTTAGTTTGGGAATAGAGATTTACCCTTTCAATTAAAATATCTATATCTCTATATATATATATTTAAAGAGTATTGAGCTAGTAAAGTGTTGTTTAACAAAAGGTAACTGAACAGCTGAAGTGTTTGTTTCAGTCTTAGTGCTTAGTTGCTTAGCTGTCAACAGAAAGAAAAGGAAATTTTTTTTCCTTTAAGCCTATTCAAGTACTACTTTCAGTGTTTTTTTCTGGGAGCATTTGCCTGTCATAAGAAACTCCTGATATACAATCGCAGTCTAAGTTCCTGTGATGTTGTTACTACTTTTTTTAAAAAAGGGGAAACCTCGGTATCATACACATACCTGTCTATATGTCTAGTGATAAAAATGTTACTTATATGCCTCTCTTAAAAAATTAAGAAAACCTCAGAACTTTCCATGCTCAGACTTGCACTTAAACTACATGGCTATTATGGTTTCAGTTCAGTAGCTTGTCCTGAGCAAGTTTCAGTTTACTGCAACTATAATTAAAAGAATTTCAATTTCCTAAATTAATGATGTATTAAGATTATATGCAAACAGTAAAACTGAAACCAAATTAATTTTCTCTTTGCTTGTAGCTTTTATTTACTCAGAAATGAAACAAGTAATGAAGTGTCCTGCTCTGCACTCTTCTCAAAGTGAATTTAAGAAAATACCTGTATTTTCAAAATTCCCCTGATATAAGCCTCATATGTAAGGAAGAATGGTTAGGATATTTTTATAATAAATCACTCAGATCATTTCTGAGTGAAAACAGAACAATTTTTAAATGTTGTATATGTTAAGTGGTATATTTCCTAACTTGTAATTCAAAGGTATTTTACTTAAATGTTTGAATTTTTTGCATATTTTTTTTAAGGTGCTAGTGGAAACCTTCATTTCATGAAAAGTGAGTGATACTATATGAGTATTCTTATTAAGTAATCACTGATTTCAGAAACTAAATTATTGACTAATTCTGTGTGTTTTCCCCTTCAGACTATGTTTTACGTGATTCTTGCTGATCTTTCATAAGTTTGCACAGCATCAGCTGTGATGGTGCCCTTGAAACAGCTTTGCTAAGTAGTACAGTTTTACTAATACTGAATATGACTACTAATTTTAGTGCTAATCTTTTTTTAAAAAAAAAAACAACAAAAAAACAACCACCAAACTATATACCAATATCATTGAAAAATATTGACCTGTTGTCTGAATTGAAATGTACCTGTATTGCTTCACCAATTTTACTGTCACATTCCTTTCATAAATTTTCATTCTTCCTTGAGTGAAAGATTTCCCTTGAGCTTTAAGAATCAGAAGAGCACTTACTTAGGATATATGAAGGTTAAAATCATGGCTGCACTGAAGATGGCAAACTTTCCATGATACTGAGGTTTTCATCCACTGACTTTCAAATACACAAAACATCACTTTTTAAATTATTTTCGTGTATGAGCACCTTCTATGTTTAGACTTCATTGTTGTATTTGAAAAGTTTTAAGAAGCTTCTATTTTAAAAATCTTTTTTGGGGGTGTTAAATTGATCTTTTGAGAGGTCGAGTGAAACTTGACTAATAGAATTTGTAATATCATATTGGAGTTGTGACTTCTATATAAATGTTGAACTGTTGAATACATTGGAGTTGAACTGGTTTATGTATATCAGACTTGAACAACAGCAGAAATCTTCTGCAGTTTTCCAGCTTGCTACAGTAGTCATGCATGCAGCAGAATGGAAAATGGGTATAGAACTGCAGAGCTAGAACAAAAAATACCCAGGATGAGCTCTTTGTACTTTCCCAGAGATACAGCTGGTAGTTGCTGAGTGGGGCGGACATACTAGTAAGAGGGGTCATGAGGTATATAGGTATCAAAGCGTAATGACGCAGTA